TGTGGTCGAGTTTGGTTTTCGTAAGATTCGGAGTTAAAGTTAAAGAAAAACAAAATCTTATTTTGAAGCTCAAATGGAAAGAGTTGACCGGAGAGTTGACTTTTGAGCAAACGACCCCAAAATAGAATTTTAACGATGTCAATAGCTTCGTATGGTGATTTCGGACTTAGACATATGTCCGAATTTAGATTTGGAAGTCCATAAGGCAATTCGGCGCGTTTTCACGAAGTAAGAAAGTTGACATGTTCTAATTATATGATTTTATATGTAGAAGAGGTCTATTACCATGATGGATACCAATTGGATATGATAGTAAGTGTACGAGGCGTACTATAAGATATATTGGGTCTAAAAAAAGTCCTAAGTCTAAGCCAAGTTGGAAAATTTCATAATAGACTAAAGTTGCAAATGAGTACACACAAGACCTCACTTTGGACGATCATATCTACATATATAAAAGGATCTATGTGATGGAAAACCTATCAAATGAATGATATTCAAGTCTAGTTTCTAACGCTTCAAACCGTTCGTCATTTGGACACTCCTACAAGAAGTTATGATCCAATTACCGAAGGCTGGTAGAAACTTGCACTACTGCGACGTCCCATGCAGTGCTCCGCTGTGGGGAAATCCAGAGAGCATTAAAAAACGTTTTATGAGCACATTTTTCACAGCCGCGGCGCACCTTGTGGCGCCCCACATGGTGCGGCTGTACAAAAAATAGGTTTTTCTGACCCGACCCCTATTTCATTTAACTCGTTTAGGGTTCATATTTTTGGGTATTTTCTGGTGTTTTAGAGAGAGGGGAGAGCGTTTCTAGAGAGAGAAATAAGCATAAGTGTTTTTGTTCATCAAAATCTTGTCCAAACCTTGAAATCCCTCAAGTTCTTCATCAAAGAGGTAAGAATTTCATTTTCCCCATTCTTTAATTTCGAAATCTAACTAGAAATGGGTAATTAGTAAGATGATTCATGGATGTTTGAGTATTAGTTATACATGCTTGTAACAATAAGGTTATGGGAAGATTGTTGAGTTCAAATAGGTAAAGATTGGGTTAAAAATAGTAGAAATCTTCAAAACTTTAATTGAGGATTTGAAAGACAATCCGATGTCGGAATTCGATAATTTTTGTATGGTTGAACTCGTATCTGAACGAGTATTCGGATTTCGTAAGTTTTTTCGGGATTCATGACATGGGTCCCACTGTTGAATTTTAAAAATAAATTTCGGATTTTATCCGGAATATTAGTAATTTCATATGAAATTAATTCATACGATTTATATTGAGTATATTGAATTATTATGATTAGATTTGAAGCTTCAAACGAATTTGCGAGGCTGAGGCTTGTTGAAATTTTGAATTGGTTGCAAAGCGAGGTAAGTGTTTGGTCTAACCTTATCTTGAGGGATTAGGAGTTTTGTCGTATTTGTTATGTGTTATTTGTTGAGTACGACATATAGGCATGGGGACGAGTATCTATGTGTTAGTGTCAAGCATGCACCTAAGTCTTATACTTTGATTAATGTGACTTCGTTTCAAATTTTATATGCTCTATATGATAATTTCTATTGAGGAATATGCTTGTGGAAATATTATTGAATTGTTGAACATTGTAGAGCATTGGCTCAAGTTGAGAATTGAATTGTTGAACATTGTAGAGCATTGGCTCTAGTTAAGAATAGAATTGTTGAACATTATAGAGCATTGGCTCAAGTTGAGAATTGAATTGTTGAACATTGTAGAGCATTGGCTCAAGTTGTGAATTGAGTTGTGAAGTAAACGTGAAAGAAGAAAGGAGAGAGAGAATCATGATATTGTCTCCCTTGCCGGGATGTTACTGTTTTGATGTTGTTTCCCTTGCCTGGATTTGATTGTTGTACTATTGTTCCCTTGCCGGGATTGTTTTGTGATTTCATTTACTTCCTTGCTCTTATTTCTTATGATTGTTGTTTGGGTGAGGAAGAGTGTTAAAGCATGAAGGGTGATGCCATGTATGATTTTGTGAGGAAGAGTGTTAAAGCATGAAGGGTGATGCCATGTATGATTTTGTGAGGAAGAGTGTTAAAGCACGAAGGGTGATGCCGTATATGATTTTGTGAGGAAGAGTGTTAAAGCACGAAGGGTGATGCCGTATATGATTTTGTGAGGAAGAGTGTAAAGCACGAAGAGTGATGTCGTGTCGCACGATGTACAATTCCGTGCCGATTATATTGATTTTATGGCGAGGATGAGAGTAAAAGCATGAAGGGTGATGCCGTGCAGTTTATACTGATTTTTATGGTGAGGACGAAAGTAAAAGCACGAAGGGTGATGTCGTGCACTTGTCCTTGATTTTTTCCTGATTCTAATCGAGTTATGTTGTCCTTTACGTTTATTTACTAATTTTCTGTTGTTAATTGATTTTATTTCGATGTTATAGATTCCCTTACCTATTTGCCTTGTGTTTGTTGCTTGGGTGAGGAAGAGTGTAAAGCACGAAGGGTGATGCCGTGTATTGTTTTGGTAAAAGAGTGTTAAAGCACGAAGGGTGATGTCGTGTGTTGTTTTGGTGAGAGAGTGTTAAAGTACGAAGGATGATGTCGTGCACTTTCTGTTAGCTGTGTTTACTTGTTATTAACAAATCAAGTGTATTAACTGTTTAGATCCCTTTACTTTTGTGATCCTTTGTGTTAGAATCTATAGTGTTCACAATACCTCGTCTTAGTATTTTTTTTATACGTTCAATACTTCAAATTTCAACAATTATTATATTTTTAACTTAATTGATTTCTCAACTAAATTTTTCTTAAACCGTTTGAGATTGTACTTTACTTAAAAAAGAATTTCTACTATGTTTTGATTTATTGATTTCTCGTATTAAAGGTAATGATTCATTCGATATTGTACTTTAATTGAAAAGGGTATTTCCTTTATTAAATGATTTCTAAAAATAACTTCATCTTTTCTTGTTGATTTCCTAATTGAGTTGGAAGCTATACTCTACTTTATGTTAAGTGAATGAGGTTCCTTGAACATTCTTAATGGTATTAGCTTATGGAACCTATGAACTGAGTAACATGAGAATATTGTTGTGCAATGTGAGACAGAAATATGTGGGCACAAGGTGCCGGGGAAAATATTATGGTTTTATTTAAGGGTACGTGAGTTGTCCGTGCGGTTGTGATATAAATATGGGCACGAGGTGCCGTGAAAATATGAAAGTGGGTTGAGACCTATATTATTTATGATTATGAAATGAGGCGACACAAGGTGACCCCTACTCGAAAGAATTATATTCGAAAGATGCTTATTTGAAAGATTTTTATTTGAAGGAAATATATTCGAAATATATTTATTGAAAAACATATTGTCTTAGATATTATTACTTGAAGGATTTATAGGAGAAAGATTTATATTTGAAGGACTTGATTAATTGATTGCACTTGTGTTTATTATTTGTTGAGAAACATTTATGGTGTTCTTGTTGCCTGCTTTTTATATCACTGGTTGATCAGTGTTGCCATCGTTGTTATCTGCTTCCTATTATTTTTGTACGCTATATTGCACAGGTTTATTTGGTAGTCTGGTCCTAGCCTCGTCACTACTTCGCCGAGGTTAGGCTAGGCACTTACCAGCACATGGGGTCGGTTGTGCTGATACTATACTTTTGTACATTTTCGTGTACAGATCCAGGTATTAGATCGATAGTAGATGTTCGTTGCGGTGGAGACTCAAGGTAAACCTGCTGCAGCGTTCGCGGTCCTCGGAGTCACCTTCAATTGTACTTATTTCCATATGTTCCTTTTGTTCGGAATTGTGATGTATTTATTTTGTATAACTACTCTTAGAAAAATGTATGACTTGTACTACCGGTTTTGGGAATTGTAAATTGTTTAGAAAAATTTCATTTGAAGTTCATAAATATCAATGTTATTTCAATTAATATTAGGCTTACCTAGTTTAGAGACTAGGTGCCATGACGGCTCCTTCGGAGGGAATTTTGGGTCGTGCCACAATCACAAATAATCATTCAGAATGATTTCTACCACTTAAAGAATATAAAAAGTTCACATTTCAAGATGAATTCTTCCTCTTCTTTGAATACTTCAATAATGGTTTGTAGATTTCAAACAACTTCTCCTCTCCCCCTCTTATTGATTGCCTCTTCTTTTCTCAACTTCGCCATCTTAATTTTGGGTATAGGGAGGAGATATCAGGAGGTATCTTGAGGACAAAAAGATAGGCATGGGAAAAGGATACGGTTTTTTATCTAATTGAATTTAGTGACTACAACTACAACAACTACGAATGCCTCATTCCAAGCAAATTCTGGTTGACGACATCCATTAAGCTCGTCATAATCCAATTTTGTTAATACATCGTCTCGTACTAGAAATTCTCTATATATACTTTTTATTGACCTATAAATTTCTAACAAGACTAAAAGATTCTTAGCGTATATTAGACCTAAAGCAAAGATACTACTAACATTTATTAAGGCTGAATTCCAAGTAATTGGTGTCATTCATACAGATATTTTTCTTCCAATATAACTCTGCATGTGAAAACTCACATTGCTGGTTTTAAGCCAGGGTACCAAGCCAAGCCCTAGAACTTGGTAGGGTATGAAATTTATCTCCTTCGGTATAGCTTGTCTTGGCTCGTTTAGGGTGGGTGGGTAAGGCAGGAGGGTGATCCCTATAGTTAGATTAACTGGTGTAGCAGGTTAGTGAGGTTATTCCTACTATGGTGAAGTGAAAGATCTTCCACTGTAGTGGGAGCGAGTGGAGTGAGAGCAAAGCAAGGTCTTGTGGTGGGCTGTTATTTTTTACCTTTTGGCTATTGAAAATAAAAGTGCTTCCAGGTACACGACTGTTAGGTTCATTCAAGGCATATTTATGGAAGTAGCAAGAATTTGACTGTCAAATTTGAAAAACGCACATGATAAAGAAGCTGTTAGCTGGCTACCCCTCCCACTTGGCCTTTCCTCGCCATGGGAATTAAGATTTTAGTCTGTATGGGTGCAATAGATTTTCCATTAACCTAAAATAAGTCAATTTATGATTAATATGTTCTCACAATGCAGAATATCTTACCTTCAATGCCTGTCCACCCAAAATGATATATCCAATATTTATCAAGAATAGATTTGCATACTGTAATCCCCAAACAACTACATAAGCTTTCTGACCTGCATCAGCCGACATCCCAATAAATTAACTGAGATGTTATAAGGAGCTAAAAAGACGACTATATGTTGATATGAATTTTCTGGTACGCACCATATATGAATCCAGCAAGGTCTCTATATCTGATATGCCTCTTTCCCCCATATTCATGAATCTTGGCAATTAGAGCATTAGCATATAATGATATCACTGCTTCTAACATCAAACCAATCACACCTCCAATCCATCCCAAAGGTATCATGGTTACACCAGCATATCCAAGCGCGTAAGCACTGTTCAAACCAGTACACAAAAGAACTCCCACTTGAATGAATGAATCTACAATTTTTCCAAACAGGAGACAAAAGACACAAATTACGAAAGTTTTAACAAACAGGAGGCAGTATATTTGGTACCAAGGAAAATATTTTTCACTGTTCAAAGATACTTGTAACAGTAATAGATTGAAGATTACACTCCAAAAGGTTAGTAAGGTCATTTGCCATCCTCCTCACTCTCCATTTCTTCACGGTAACTTCATCTCATCATCGTCCCTAAAGAGAATATAGTAGGAAACAAGAGACTTCTCCTTTTCGACTTTTCCAATTGTTAATTTACTATGAGGAACCAGGCCAATATAAGCCCTGTGCATTGCTGCAGGGAGACAAATGAAGTAGCAGATTCTCTCGCAAAATTGGCGACTACTAACTCTGAAGCCAAATTATACCTTTCTTTCCAACAACTCCCAAAAGGAACTGAAGGTTCTTCTGTGCTTGACAAAGACCAGATGCCTACTGTTAGGCTTAAATATGACAAAGCAAATTTTTTTGTTAGCTAAGTAGTAAATGTCTTGTACTTTAACAACCTCCGTCGGATGTATATCATTATGTTGTAATCCTTGGAGGTAAGGCTCACATCCTCCTCCTATATTTTGGAAATAAATACTACACCCCAAGAAATTTGGGAAATTCTATTAAAAAAAATTACTATGAGGAAAAGCGAAACATTATTTAGGTAAAAATACATATTTACTAACCATTGTCGATTAGTTTGAGTATTTGTCAGTCTGATGAAACAAATGCCAATTAGAAAAAAGAGGGTCGGAAAACAAGAGAGGAGCATGCACGTGCAGGGAGATGGACCTTGGCCAATCTGATGATGAGTTTCAGGAGCTTCAACTTCTAAAGCCACATGATTGCCGGAACTAGTGACTCCTTCTTTCTTTTCTTCTTCTTCTCCCATTACCAACTTATATTGTTAATGCATAGGCACTGCAGCGTATTTAAAACCGGGGAAAATTTTGGTGCTGAGACTTAGCTAAAACATTCATATATAGTTCCAATTGGGAAAATATAAAGTTTTCTAAATACTACAGTTGTGGGGCTTCTCTATCTCTTTTGATTTCCATGTCTTCAAAAATTAATTACTCTTCTTTTGGCTTGGTCTTTTCTCTTTCCTTTCTTTTTGATGATAGACCAAATGGGCTAAAAGACAATTAGCACGCATGAATATTTGTGGAAAATGTGTCCATAACACTGATTTGGATAAGTGAATGAGTGGTTAAGACGCTAGATGTGCAAAAGACGTTTATAACCTTGAAGATTACAAGATGACAAAGACAACCCCTGGGAGAGCAAGTCATGAAATGGTAATGTAAAACTTTTCCATATTAAGGTATGCCTTCAATGATAAACTTAAAAGAAGTACCTATCGTGCTCAAATTTGAACTAAGAGTGGTCAATATTTGGTTCTTGGATTGTGGAAATTGGATTTGGAGCCCGTAACATCAGTTTTAGTAGCATGAATTCTTTCCTTTTCGTTTTGGGTGAATTCTTTCCTTTTCTTCAATTATTTTAGTGCAATATTACTTATATTGTTGTCTTGGTTTAACACTTGCTTTATCAGCACTTTAGAAAATTTTTGTAATTTGTGTTGATTCATTTTTGTGGAGCTTTGTGGACCTGAGGTCCTCTGGTTTTTACTTTTTACATTGACAAGGTTTTCACGTTAACTTTTGATGTCTCCTTTGTTTGTTATTTTGCTTGCATATATTTCACATTACTTGATATACTTGTTGCTCGAATATGTTTGTACTTGAGTTTGTTTGCCTTCCCTGATTTAAATAAATTGAAAAAGTTTGATGTGAGTATTTTTTACTGTTACCTTGTCGCACATTATTTAGTGCTTGTTTTTCCTCAACATAGAGGTATCAGAGCTTGCGGTTATATTTATTGGTGATATTTTTATGTCACGACCCAAAATCCCACAAAGTCGTGATTATCCCTAATCCAATCTGCCTGTTAAGCCAAGCAGTATAAGTTAATACCATAACGATAAATCATCAGTATTATAAATAAACTGCAAAAGAATTCAATATAACTTTTTTAAAGGCTGGTAGTACAAGTTATGAGCCACTAAGATTAGATTTACAAAGCTAATAAGAAGAATAAATACATTATCTGTTTGAAATTTACATAAACAGAAATGAAGTTCTAAACTACCACGAATAAAAAGGTAGATGAAATTCGGAACACTAGTATGTCTCCAAGACAAGGCTTCGTCTTCCACGGTTACTCAGCTCCAGAATCTGCATGCAATATGTAGAAGTATAGTATGAGTATAGTTGTCCTTATGTACTCAGTAAGTATCTTGACTAACCTCAGAGAAGTAGTGACAAGGTTTTTATGTCATAAGATACTCACTTTGCAGAACATGTGCAGCTCAATAACATGTATAATATAGAGAAAATACTCCAGAAAGACAATTACGGAATAAAGAATATTAACAGTGAAGGTGCACAACTGCGATATGGTAATAAACAAACTCTATAAATTAGATATGTTCAACAAATACAACTTGCACTAACCCTGCTCACAAAGAGGTATGCACCATATATGTGTTCTCAATAGCCCAACATGATCCGATTCCATATTAATTTTCAAATAACACATTCAAGAGAACCTTTCAAGAATCAAATATATCAATGCATGAAAATAACTTTTTTATCACGTCAACCCAATACGCCACCAACAACTCAACAAAATATGAAGTATTAACACCATAAAATTAAATTCATCTTGACAACCAAATCATCAACAATAACAGAGGCATAGAATAGCATGTTAAATAAAAAATCATGTAAGAATGTATGGCAAGCATAAAGAATTCACATGCACATTAAAAAATATCACTCGCATACCACCACATAAATATCATCAACAAAATAACCCCCAAATCATCACATAACATCATCAATAATGCCACCGTTATTTGTCGTATGTAATATAAAAGATATCACCCTTTTTTAGCCGCATGTGCATATCACCACCCTTATTTCGCCACATAGTCAAGCCCGAAAATAAGTCACCCTTATTTTGGCCCATGCGCAATAATAATCGCAATCGCACAACAAAGACCTCCTATCAATACCCAATCACAATCGCACGATAATAATCTCGTTCCACAATATCATCATAATCAATCTGCTCAATATATTTACAAGTGTCATAGTCACAACAATGCAAGATAACAAATTATCAACAAGAGGCATATAAATGCGGATAAGGCATGATCACGACTAAATTAATTATAGCAACCAAGTTCAAGTAGTCATACAAAGGATCACATATGTGTCAAAGAGTTCACATGTTCGAAACAAGGAATAACACAAGAACAAGTACGGATGTGTGTTCATAGTATACATGTATCCACCTCCAACGCAAGTATAACATAAATCTCAAGATTTGATCATCATGTTCAAAGAAGATACCAATAGCCTCAATATTTCTCTAGCATATTTTAATGTGCTCATGTAGTCAATTAATTGAATAATACATATAATAAAAAAAATATACAACCAAACAAGGCATAGAGTAATCTAGAATCTACCCGAGCATGAATAACCATGGCACATATATATATGTTCGTCACCTCATATATACATAACTCTCGCATGTAATCGGTCATTTTGAGCTCTAGAGCATCATTGGATGGTTTGAGGCCTTGGGTAGCTTCACTTCATGTAATATGACTTGTACATATAGTCAGATTTGAATTTCGGGAAGTTTGGAGTTGATTTGGAAGGAAAATTCTCAATTCGGAAGCTTTAAGTTAAAAGAGTCGACCAAGGTTTGAATTTTGAGTAAACAACATCGGAATCGGGATTTAAAGGTTCCAACAAGTTTGTATGATGATTTTGGACTTAGGCATGTGTTCGGGTATGGTATTAGATGGTCCGGGAGCATTTGAACGCTTAGTATGGATAGTTGGCATTTTGAAGGTATTAGAATTTTCTAAGTTTGATTTGAATTGGACTTTTGTGTATCAATGTCCGTTTATTATTCCAATCCTTGAAATAGGTTCGTATTATGATTTATGACATGTACCAAAATTTGGCATTATTACGGAATGTTTAAGTGCAACTCACACGCATTCATTGAAGTTTGAATGTTTGAAAGTTGAAAGAAGGATTTTTATCGTCGATTAATGTTTTTATTGTTATTCGTGATATTTCAAGCATTTAGATAAGTTTGGATAAGTTAGTGGGACTTATTAACGTGATTGGACGGGGTCTCAAGGGCCTCGAGTGTAATTCGGGATGGTTTTGGACCATTTCATCTTGTCGTGTAATTGCTGGTTTCTGGTATCTAGGTTATCCATCACGATCTTGAAGATAGGCTTGTGATCATGTAGTGTTGACTGGGAGCTAGGTGAAGTTGTTATTCGCGATCGCGTATGGTTGCTCGCAATCACGGTGTTTGGTCAGATGGTTCATCGCATTCGCTTGGCAATGGTCACAAATGCGAAATGTTAGCGAGGTGGCCTGGGCTCAGAAGGATGTTCTTCGTGATCATAAGGATAGGTTCACGATTGTGTAAGGTGTTGGTTTGAGGCATGAAGGTTTAGTCTTCACGTTCCCAGAGTTGGGCTCGCATTCTTGTAGGATGTTCAGGAAAAGGTTCGCGATCTCTGTTAATTTGTCGCGTTCACTTAGAAGGAATCTGGGGCAAGGATTGCTTGGCCTCCGCGATCACGAGGGTGCTTTCACGATCGCGAAGAGGAAGGACCTGGGCAGAACATGGATTTAATTCGGCACTTATCTCATTTCTCCCATTTTTCACTTGGGTTAGCAGACTTTGGGAGCTCTTGGAGGGGATATTTTTATCATCTATTGTAAGATATGTGATTTCCACTTATTGTGAGTTAAATACATAGATTGTATATGAATTTTAACATGAAAATTTGTAGAAATTGTGGGATTTTGGAAGAAAACCTAGGATTTGGTATTTTTGTTTTTACCACGAAATTGGGCATGGAATTAGGAATAAATTATATATTTGAGTTTGTGGTGTTGTGAGTAATGTTTATCTTTGAAATTCTTTAGAATTCGGGCTCATGAGCCGAAGGGTTGAATTTGTTGACTTTTCAAGTGGAGTTGAGAATTATTATAAAATGATTATGAGTGTTGGAGTATATTTTTTATTGGTTTGCATGTTGTTTGACTAATTTGGATTGATGGGCATCGGTTTGAGGTATTAGAAAGGCGTTGGAGACGGTTATGGAACTTCAGAGCAAGGTAAATCTCCTGTCTAATCTTGTGAGAGGGAGAGTACCCCGTAGGTGTTATATTATATGCTATATTTTATGGGGGCTACACACGTATGAGGTGACGAGTGTGCGCACGCATGCTAGAATTCATGATTAAGTTCGGATACACTTAGACTCACACCATACTTTAAATATAATATTTGAGTTACTCTTGCCTATTTAATTGCTTTAATTTTCATTTTCCTGAAACTAGACTTGCGTAACGTATCAGACTTATGATACGTGATTATGTAGAGCTAATTGACTAGCAGTAGAGATTTCAATTCCTATTATGGATTTATCCCGTGTTGTATGTATTTGTCCAAAATATTTCTTGAATTTTACAACTCACGCATATGTTCGTGAGTAGGTCTAGTGAGTCGTCAAGTCTTCTTCACTATTCCTATGGGACTGGGCTGATCGCCTTAGTAGTATCATTATGGGATTAGGCCATTTTCCTAGGCAGTATTATGAGATACATCTATGGTTCGTGCCGGTTGACCCTCAGTAGTGTACACGATTATGGGATCGGGCTGAACGTCTCAACAATATAGTTATGGGATCGGGCTGTACAACACAGTAGGAAATTTGCGCCTTCACTCATGGGATCGGGCCTCTTGATAAGTAGGGATTTTGACTACTTATTTGCACTCTCTTACTTTCGTTTTAGCTCAAAATTGCTTAAAGATATTCCCGAAAACTAATAAAATGTGCTTTCTTGCAGGAGTGTTGGAATATGAGCTAAAGAGATGAAAATCAACTCAAGAAGGAGTAATTTTGGATAAGGACCAAAACAAGGCTAAAATGGCAAAATACAGACCACACAATATTGAGTGCTGCCACAGAACATGAGGCAGCCACTAACAGAATTCCCATGAAAAATGCAGACTGCACAAATTGCCGCAGA